GATACTACTGTTGAAAACTGATGATGGTTGGTTCGAACTGTTTTTTTCAGTTTCAACGTTCACATACAGGAGTTCAAACCATGAATAATACATCCATCCGTCTGACGGGTGTAGAAGATGTGTGGTAATGTTAAATAACAGAACGCGCGGAGTTGTTATAGGGATACTGCCCAAGAAGTGAAATATAAAAGAAGTGAATTTTCCACGTTCATCACAAATCCACTTACCTGAATTCAAAATTAGTAAGTTAGATGTACTTGTGGAATACCATTAAGCAAAAAGAGACTTCCAAAATGTAATAACTCCATATAGGATGCAAATGTTACAAACTTACACTTAGCCATACAAGATTTCCACTCTGTTTGGAAGTACTTCACGAATTGTGACTCAGAGAGCTGACAATTTTTGTAAAATAATAGAAGCTTCATCGCAGCAGACCTTTCCACATCAAATTCTTCTACATCAATAGTCAATGTGCTTCCAAAGCACAGGTCTTCTAATGCAGCATTCATAATAGCTCTCTTTTCATGATCACTCACAACCTCAATCAATTTCTTTGTCCATGCTTTTCGAACATGATATATGCAAAGAAATACGGGATATGTGGAAAAACAATGTCTAGGGCAAGTCTCTTATTGTCAACACAATCCGTCATGAAGCAGGAGGGTATCCATCCAAGGATATAATGTTGGACCATCTTCTTCACTGCAGGTAACAATTCCACCAGATCTTGTGTTTCTTCTTTTTTGAGGAATCCAAAAATAGTAGTATGTCCGTGTTCATATTCGTCACACACCATAAGGGTGTACAGTGGATACTGCATCGCAAAAATAACGTATAAACGTATGAGTTTGCTGCTAGTAGTTGTCTACAAAGTACTCATCTTCATTGATACTAGGTTAAACTTGATAAAAATAAATGATTTGTTATTTTTATGTATTGATAAGCTAGACGTGATCAAGGTATATAAAACAACATTTACAGCACACATTGAGAAGTTCAATAACGTCTTACTGGACATGTTAAAGCTCCAAACCGTCATTTTTTCAAGTGTCTTGCACATATTTTAAATTGTGAAGTAGAATATACATAATCATGGAAGCCTGATAATAAAAACATCAGAATGGACAAGTAGAATATTACCTTATACTTCTGCGTGCCATGCGTTCCATCTATAGCAACACAAGCTCCACTTTCATGTTTTAGCAACCATTCTAGGAGCAAGGGTATTGTAACAGCAAGCTTCAATGGTTTAAATGGATCACTTTTTGGTGCTTGATATAGAACAATTTGAGATGAATTCGCTTTCATCCATAACATCTATGTGCCTTCTCCAAGTTTCTTTGCCGAGTTCCAATTTGATACTATACACATCAGCAGATGTGATATAATGATCTCTAATAGGGGTCCCTTGCACATAGCATAAGCTCTGATGATTTTCAAACAGTGCTTTTGCAGCACGCATAAGAATTTATGGAAGAGTTAAACCTCTTCTTAATTCGCATTCAACCCATTCCCAGGCAAAGAAACGTAGAAAATATTAGACAACGTGCTTGCGTAGCGTCAAAGTTTTACAAACTGTAATAACAGCAAACTTATTGTACATATTACAAATATGACAGGCGATTAACTGTGAACGATAAATAAATACATTAAAAATATTACAAATATGCCGTTACCTGCACTCGGAGGATAAATTGTGCGTCATCTGAGATGGCAAGCTAACACTATCCCGACACGCTGTGCCATGACAAGCTACACCTGCAGCATTTACATGTCTTTTATGCTTGTATAGCAACTTCGTGGTCCCTGGTGGAATGTGATCATTAGGCAACAGTTTAATGGCACTAAACCTGTATTGACAACCCTTGTGGTGAGAATCATGATCTAATCTATCCCTGCTACCTGGATCAAATTTTGCCTTTGTTGATGGATCTTGAATAAAATTTGAGCTAAGCATACTCTTCTTGCCCATGTCTTGAGTACCATATTTGCAAGAGTACATTGAATACGATTCCCAACGGTGCCTAGCCCCTCCATCCTTGTTTGAGCAACGTGTCATAAATTCCGTCTTCGCATCACTATAACAAAGGGAATTGCTAGGCACACACCCCCCCCCAAAAGAGTGATGACCGCCCGTGACCTTAATAGCACGCTCAAATCGACAGAAGTAGCCGTCTCACTCGCAGAGGCACCATATCACTAAAGATGGAGCCACCGCCGCTGGATCGCGTCTACGCGTCGTTGGAAGAAGCTGAGACGGAGATTTTTGCCTTTGCTCACATGAAGGGGTACAGCTTGTTTGACGAAGCGCTGGCATGTTTCGACGCAGAAATGTTTAGCTTTTGGTGTTTTGACGCAGAAATGTGCTTTGTGGACGAATGGATGTATGCACAGGAGGGGGGTGTGTGCCTAGCAATTCCCATAACAAAATGCCTCTCCTGAAAGAAAATCGTTAAGCCTCTAGCTTTTGATGTAGGCCGTCCCATTCGATCAATTCAAGATTAACGAATTGAAAGGGTCATCCCACGGTGGATCCTGCACAATCCATCTTGCCTCCATGCTGTCACCACACCTGCAAAAAGCACATGAAATGACAAGAAAAGGACAAGCACGAGCTCTGGCACGAGCTTCTCACAGCACTGACACTGGCACCCAAAAGTGATGTCAAAACATCGACGAGCTGGAGGACATAGATGTGACACTATTTTCAAAAATCCTAAACTTTGCCGCCTAAAATTTTGTCGCCACAATGTGTTATCATTGTTTGAATTACAAATATTACAGTTTGAATTTATTATGTATTCCAACTAAGCTATCCCTCCTGAGGTTTAGTTTTAGTTTAACTAAAACAACGGCCTCTACAGTGACGGCCTCTACATGCCTCTACATGGTTGTTGAAATTTAATCCGGTTGACGGCATCTATATGATTGTCTGGAAGTCGGATCCGCCTACCCTCAAGTCCCCAAAACTGAGATAAAATCCGGCTTACTCGGGGCTCTCCGAATGGAGCATGAAGCAAGAAAGAAAGAGTAGAAAGAAATTGGGATCCCTAACACCTGGCAGTACGGCAATTTGTATAAGGGCCAAACCACACGACCGGCAGCGGCATCAAATCCTCGCTTGTTATTGGCACCCGAGCTTCCCCCTTTACCACACGGGAGGGAGTGGCAATTTGATATATCCTAGGTGGCAAAGAAATCGACTTCTCAAAACTACCGACTCGAAATCCGGTTTTTCCGGAATATATAGACTCCACGTGTACTTTCGCGCCTTCGTGGGTTACTCTTCCAAAGACTTCTCACCGCTGCGTTGCAATTAGTAGAGATATTTTTCCCTTTTCACTCCAAAGGTAGTGTGGTAGAGGTTATGGAATTTTAGTAGGCCAACTTAGGTCTACGAAAACGTGGTTTTCTTATAGCTGCCGGTAGTGTGGTAACGCCCTAAGTTTGTGCAACTACGCGAGTAGCTTTTGTACTAGTCAAGCTCGACATACCGTAGAACGGGATGTCCAGCTGGCATTCTACATTAGTAACAAGTAGTGGAGACACTTTTATATAGCCTAGAATAACTTGGGAACCAAGATCGGCTCTTCTAACAGGTAAGCTCGACGCACAACCTCACACTCTACAATGATAATAGAAAGGAGTCGAAGTCTTTTATTTAACCTATAAGAACAAGTTCTTATAGGTACAAGAAACCTAATGAATGCGGCCGGCCACACGCGCCATCCCTTACGAGACGTGCCGAACGTAACGGGCAGTTGTAGCGTAGTCGCGCGCTATGTTTCGAGCGCGGAGGCTTATTTGATCGCTAAGTAATTAATCGGTAAATCATCGATAATTAATCGATAATTGCGAAAATCACATTAATCGGTAAATAACACCAAAATCCATGTGCTCGATCCTTAGATAATTTCCGTCTGTTGTTCTCGGTACGTTTCCAGGTCCCGGGACTGACCTTCTGATCTGCTCACTCTTCCTCAGATTTAGATGACGGTGAATTTCAATCTAGTGGCAATTTAGTGGCAACAGTCAAGGTTCGAGGCTCGAGGATTCCATCTCATGCACCGCTTCGGCCACAGGAATTGTGTGATTCAAAATTCCAGGATTGCTGCTCCGCTTCCCTCCTTCTTGCATTGGAGCCGTGAACTAAACCCCATAAACACCTTCCGACCGACCGACCGACCGACCGACCGCTTTGACGAATCATGGCGTGCACCAACGCAAAAGTTCATGCCTGCATTTATTTATTGACAGCCGTTCCGACCTCCATTGCAGGACTAGCATCACTCCACGACGGGACGGGACGAGACGACAGTGAATCGATGAGTTTCTATGCCAATGCTTTTTCGACGATGACGTGATGGACATCTTCATTACGCTGTAGCTTCTCGAAGTGCGTCACGAGGAAGGCATTTGATGATTTGGGCTCAATAATTTATGTTGTCTGAATGTTTGCATGAATTGCTCACGGATGACAAGGAGAATCTGAATCCTCTCGGTACATTGCGGCAGCTACTTTCGAGGGCGGCAACAGCTGTGGTCGCCCTCGATCGTGGGATGCGAATGTGTATCTCCCCTCGAGATTTCCCATGCTCTTCACAAGTCGCAGATACGCGTAAAATTTCTGGTAGAAAGTAATCAGAAGATTCAGATTCGAGCATGTCTTTGGGAGTTTCAGCAGGCACCCGGCAACGACTGTGAGTGAAGCTTGGAAGCATGCATCACGAGTACAGGTGTAGTCTCACTTACTTCCGGTCATGACCCTCGAGCTCGAGGGCCTCGGAGATTCTGAGCGAATTCAGCTACTATCCTGGTATCAGAGATCCAACGAGTAGGTCAAGCACCAGACGAGGAATCGTTACTCATCATGAACGAAGCAAGATTGACGTTTCTGAACGTGATCGTTTCTCAGAGAGAGAGAGAGAGAGAGAGAGAGAGCTAAGATGCAATCCAAGTATGATCACGCCGATGGTTCGGAGAGCAGGGAATCTTGCACGAAGCCAATCTTGGAGTTTAGATTTGCTCATGTCACCTTCATATTTCTCATTGCTTAAACTCAAGAAATTCAGTGACACATAGATGTGTGAACTCCAGCAGCTGGTGGAGAGATTCACTACACTCAGTCCTGTTCTGAACTAGACCCATTGTTTGGAAAGAGGGTCGATGCGCACACGCCTTATCCGAGAAACAATCACTGTGAGCCAGCCAGCCAGCCCTACATGCCTTCCGTTCACACGCTACACCTTCGCAGTGAGGCGAAGTGAGCTATGGTGATGATGCTCGTAGCTTTCTCTTCACAGATCATCAGGTGAGGGTGGTGGAGGTCAGAAGCACGAGGAGCAAAGCTGCAATTGCAGCCAATTTGACGGACCCAGATGCAGGACGAGGCCTGGGGCCAGCTGCTGATGGTGGCGGGGGAGTGGAACCTCCCTTTGGGGCAGCCAAAGCTTCGGGAACGGAGCCTACGAGTGTGACGTGCAGCTTCTGCTGGAGCCAGCAGTGCGATGGACCTCCGCAGACGAAGAAGTAATCTCTCATGCCTGGACGATTGAGAGTGATGGTGTCATTTCCAGAAGAGTACGAGTCCAGGGGATCCTCGAGAAGGCACGTCTCGTAGGCCGAAGCATTCACAAGAAGAACATCATGCGTCGCTGTTGAATATCTGAAAACTGCACCCACCCACACATCACAGCACTTCCGTCTGTCAGAAGCCGATAACCTAGACCTTTCTGCAGCTCGAGCATGCACTCCTCGTGCTCCTCGACTGCGGTTCCATGCCTCATAATCTCAAATGTACTTTGTCGTGGACTCACACTAGTATTTGCAGCAATTCATCATCCCGAACGAAGGCCAAGGCATGCAGCGTTTGATCGGAGCAGACTGAAATGCATGATTCTCAGACACTAGAATCTTACAGCTGAGGGCACCATACACCAGCAGCTCGACATATTTATATGGGCACGAAGATTTCGAGATCTCTACATGACATGACCCTGCTGACATGCATATTTCAAACGACTGTCACTGATGGCCACGCAGCACGTGATCAACCAGCATCCTATTGACGAATGCCGTGCATCGACTGTCGTTGGTCACAGATGTAAAATTATCTATGAGAGGCTTGGAAGTATTTCAAACATCAACTCTTTCGGAAGCTGAATTACACAAAGATTTTTTGAGATTCAGCAAACGTGTTATCTCTGTCTTACCATCTGTTATCTCTATTGCTGCAATTCACTGGTATAAGTTTCCGGATGGAAGTCATACGTTGATGCTAGCCTTGTATACTGTAATCTGATTTACACGTTCTGAAACAAAATGTCCATTGAGTTCTTGAGATTCCAGGATCACAAAATGAGATTACTTACAGAATTTCTCGTCATGGAAAGCCCAGTTACAAATCATCGAGAGGAGCAGCAAAGTTGCTGTGAAGATAGGATAGGCATGAGCTGCTCAAACTACGAATACATCTAAATCATCGTGCGACATGAATCCTCCTGCAACGGTGCAACGGTGCAGGAGCCACGTTGGAAAGCAGAAGATGACTTACTCAGATCATCTCCAAATCGGAAGTTTCTTGATTCAGCCCAGGCGGTGTAGTTGAGATCATTTGTTGTGGCCGGGATAGTCCAAGTTCCTGCGTCATCTCCGACCATGTAAGTGGCAGCATTCACAGCTGCGATGAGTCCTGCTGCCAGAAATAAAATTACAGCCCCTCTATATAATCTCAAGCTTTGTGCACCAGTCATCGCTTCCGAAGGCTGCAGTAGCCGTCTGCTCACTTCTCATAAGCTCCGAAACTGTTTCGTTCCCCGTCCGAAGAGACCTTCCTGTCGAGAATCTCAAATGCCCAATTTGAGTTCAGTCTGTCACTATACAATCGAAGCGATAGTGGCTCAGCCAGTCAGCTATCCATTTCAAACCGCAGCTGGCAGCAAAACATCCAGCAACGAAACCGACCAGAAATCTATGGGAGAGCTAATGAGAGAGTGATATAAAGTGGCAGTGTTGTGACACAACCGGATCCATGGAGCTGCCACTTATAGCCAGCGCAGTGATAAAGAATAGATCTCGTGCAGCTGTTGGAGGGAGTGACCCTGAGAGGGTCCTTTCATGTTCACTGTAGGGCACAAAGGAAGGGCCTGAGGCTTGCAGCGGAGGATGAGGAAGGCGAGGACCCACCATAAAACAGCAACAGTTAACTACATCAGATTAGCTGAACAGGAGTTGGAGCCCAGGAGGGCGTTGACATGACCTCGTCCAGATCCTCTGAGGTTCGCCTGCGCTGTATCGAGCGCCGCACTAATAGATCAGTCACGTCATTGGTTGGCGGGCTCTGTAGGCACCAAATATCCGGCTATTTCGACCGTTTCCTGCTGCAACAAATCCGCCAGGATCCCAACAATTGCTGAGAAGCGATCCACCCGTCTCACTAGAATTTGAAATCTCTGTCAAGCATCTCAGCCATCTCAGACAAAGGTTCGTTCGAAGTTCCTTTGGCTCGTGCCAAATGCCACCAATCAGCCCTCTGTGTCTTGGACTCGAAATTATTGTACTGTACATGGGCATAGCTGAGCTGAGCTGAGCTGAGTCCGTGCTTTTATATTCCTATTCATGGTCAGGTCCAGCACATATACCAGTACGTAGAAGAAGCTGATTAAAGGTAATCACCACGGTCTCTGACTCTTAATCCAAAATCCTATGTGACGGTACTGAGAAATGAGTGACAGTTCCATGGCTGCAGCCTGTGTCTCTCACTGCGAATGTCTCGTCAGATTAAGTCCTTCTCGTGGCCGCTGATCCCATAGCTACGGCATGTTCGTTACGACAGAGTTCAATCCCTCTCGGAGGATTGGAGACCTCTCATTCTGTCACTTGATCAACATGATATCCAAGGCCTAGCTTAATTCGGCGTTAATTTCCCGGATGAAGTGCACCTGATCTCTAATCGGGCGGCTCGTAAATGGATTCTCGCCCACTATGGATTGGTGCTGTCTTTGGAATATCTCAGAGATTTTTCCCGGTGGCGGTGATGTACCTCAGCAACTCTCAAGGTTTGACATGGAATCTCTAAAGCCTTGGAAGTGTGGAATAAAATAAAAGAAATGAGGCACTCCACAGATGTCAACGCTGACAGTGTGAGTGACCTGACTGATGCGCAGCAAACCAGACCGTGGTTCACTCCATTCCTAACCATCTGAAGCAATCCCCGGTACTTGCGCTGCATCAAAGTTGTCAAGTTGTGAGGCCGTGATTTTAATAATGCCAAAAGCAGCTGGACACAATTTAGAGAGAATATTTTCAGGATCGCTTCTGCGGACGACGGGACTCTCATCACATGGGCCTCATTTGAACGTCCGAGTCCATGAAGCTCAGCCGACCCGGCGTTCCAGCACCACCACCGTACTACGGGGAAGGCGTCCTGATGAGAACTCATGACTCAGGCTCGCTTGGAATATCCCTGGGAATCGTGAGATCGAGTGGTAAGGTTGACATCATCGAGAGAATCAGTCCTTTATGTCAGAGGTGTCGATGTTGCTCACCAATGGAAGCTGCATGTGACAGGCTCCCGAGACTTGGGGCGGCCCCTTCCTGTCCTAGACTCCTGGACACTCATCTGGCCGGTGAAAACTCGCGTGAACATCCAGACGCTTGCGAGTGAATCACATTCGACTGTACCAGCAGCAGAATGTGGGTCAGCTTGTCGTTGGCGCCGGGGCTTGCGAGACTGGACGCATCCTGACGCTGAACGAGCTCAGGAGTGATGCCAGCTGCACTTTCCTTTGCCTTGTTCGCATGTGCTGAAGTCGGAGCCGCAACAGTCGAGAACCAAGTCGAGTCTCCGTTGAGTAGATGGAATGCATGAAGTCCTGCAGCAGCAGCTGCAGCTGCCAGCATCGTGGGACGAAGCTCGTTCTGTGTTCCCCACGTTGAGACCTTTTCGGGGCATCCCGATGCCTCGAGCTGCTGCTGCTGCCTCTTCTTCTTCGAGACCGGTCCGAACTGGATCAGCATGTAACCCATCAGCCGATGCAAACGCTTGTGGGGAACTGCCATCGAGAACGTGGATCTTTTCCTGTTGCTCTGCCGGAGAGAGCGCACAACGTCGAACATGCTGTTGGCACGTAGCTGTTGCGCAGATTTGCAAATCCGGGCGCATAAATGGAACCTTGTCACCACAAGAGAGTGTGTGGCTTTATGCCAACACGCTTGAAGCTTGACTTAGAGGCTGTTCTGCTCTCTGTCGTGGGGTCGTCGAGAACTCGGCACTGCGCCTGTGAAGATACAGATCCATGGACCAGACCGAGACATGCAGGACCGTAACTGTGATCTATGGCTTGCACAAAAGTCAAAGGCCCGAATATTTCCTCGCATGCCACACAGTGCTCACCACATCCTTCGACGTCACTTCCTTTCATGTGCTGAGGTGCAGGTCAAGCACCTGAATGTACGCTTTCCAACACTCCGTCTGTCACTCCGTCTGTCCCTCTTACTGGCCGTTTCGTTTCCTCCACTGTCACTGTGCCCCGAATCTGTCACTCATTTCTCATCAGCCAGGATGAGAATTGTACGTAGTTCGACGCATCTTCCAGTACAATCGAAGAGCTGCTTGGACCCGGGCTTCAAATATGTTACACGTCGTGAGCCTTGCGGACACTTTTCGTGACTGCTGGCCACGGGATGCATCCGAGGTCTAGAGACCTGCGGCGTATCCAGACGGACGATGTTTTTGGAGTGGCTTGAGGACCAAGTTCCACATTCTCCTGCCTTTGTGGGCTTCTGCGACAGATTTGTGCTCTGAAGGGCAGTCGAAGCATGATGTTTCCAGATTCTTCTAGATCAGGCTTTCAGAAATTCTTCTTTTCACTATTCTTGAAGCAACTCAGAATGAAAGGAGGACGAAATTTGTCCCCACCGCCGGGAAGTTTTATGAATTGCAGAATAAAACTCTGAGCTAAAAATATCCGCATTTACGTACGGAAGAGAGTGCTTAACCTCGAACTCTCGTGAACTGAGTCATAACTTGCGATTTCATTAACTCTTTAACTTTCCTGACGCTGAAGGCTCTGATGTGAGATGACGTATCCACTTGTTGACGTGCTTCACTTATACTTCAGGACCTTTGCTATTGACCTCAAGAGTTCTGCAGATATCTCCGAGCAGACCTTCAAATGAATCACATTACTATCCAGTTCCCTTCGTTGTGTGTCTCCACATATGGACAGATTTTATGTTTAGAGAAAATTCCACCACGTATACATCGTCTGTGCCCAATACCTATGCGGTGGAATGCAAGATACCAACACTAACTCAGAAGTTCCTTCTCGTTCTCTAGTTTCAAGAGCCGAAGTCCCTTCATGTCTTCCTACTCATGAAATCACGCCCACTCAGTGCACATGCTGTGGTGATCGTCATCGACTCGTTTACCGGGGATCCTCGCTACCGCATGGGCTTCTCAGAATATGTTACGATGTTTTGGAACGGACTTTGTCCGGATCGAGACATATTACACAATTGCAATAATTACAGTCAATACAGATTTTTTAGATTCGATTGTTTTTAGACCAATTGATCTTCTGAGATTCGCGGATGCTGTAAAAAGCAGACATTAAGAAAGAGCTCGTTGCTTCGGTATAGCAAATGTAGCTCCAGCCAGCGACAAACCTATTATTCGCCCATATTTAACACAAAACAAAACAGATGGAAAGGGCTTGAGACTGCTTGGGACACCAAGCAGTCTCAAGCCCTTTGGAGGATCGATCGATTCTAAGAACCAGGTCAATTCTCTTTGATCATGCAAATGAAATCATATCGTGTAACAGTCAGAGACAGTCCTTATGTCAATTCTTGCTGTTTGGCGAAGAGCCAAGAGGTACATAATTGACCAGTTACGTCGATAAATAAAAAAAGGTGGAGAAATATGAAGGAACACTGAGAAGCAGCTTTCGGGATATGAAAATTCTGGATAGGATGGTCAGAAGCACTGAGTGGACCTCATGTCGAAAGCTCTCATAGAGTGTCAGAAAAAATTATCAGTAAGATATATTTGGCCGTCGGTAAAAAAAGCCTTTTATTAGATCTCCATTAGTCACGGAGCAGCAAGCATTTGCAGAGTACGGAATCCAGGAGGAAAGTGCAAAAGCTCTTAGTTCATATTCATACAGCGGAATTCAGACAAAGTAATGTCTCGGTGGACCTGCATGTAGCCACCAGGAGTATCTCAGAGAGTCACTACGTGGCACCAAAGGGGCTACTACCACTGAAAGCAAAGTCGGAAGCAGCTGCAATGGATGTCATTTGGACTCTGAAGCTTGGATAGCAAATTTCTGTTTTGTCTTGACCTTTGTATGAGAAATCACACATTTGGTAGCATCTGCAGCGGACTTGTTTCTCAAAACAGCTCTCTACGTCAAACAAATTGGGCTGGCCCCTCAGACTCCTCGGTTACCGGCAACTAGGTTCTGCGAGTTCGTGCACTTCGTGACTGCGATCATGGCTGCATTTGACCATCTGCTACGCCGAGCTGGACTTAGTCAAAGCTCAGTTCCCCAGTTAGATCCTTCTGCCATGTTGCAACGAGCCCACAGATGTTCTGCTCGGCCATATCATTGCAGCGGCCTTTGCTCAGGAGCGCTTGAAGGTGCTAGTGTTGATGATGGTGATGAAGAAAAGCTCAGAGATGCGGTAGGTCCTTCGATTGAAGCGACATCACTAAGTTGCGAAACCATGAATCTCTTAAAACTAGACTCAAATTGGAGGTAGAAGATGACCTTCTCGGAGTTTCTCCTCACAATAGACATTGTGCGTACACATATTTGCAGATCCCAATGAATTCAAGTGCGCAAATCAGAAATTCGGTCTGGGACATGCACTGTCATGTATACCCTGCATGTGTTGTTCCTGCCAAAGCTTATGTGTCACATCTCAAACTACCGCGGAGTATCGTTTGTCCAAGCTCCGCAGTTGCTCTACAAATCTAGTTGGGAGATGAGTGCGAGATCCACTCGCTCGTGCCTGCAGGAAGTTACTAAGCAGAGGCATAGTGTAATGTAACTGCTGTAATAAAGCTCGTTACCAAGAGTTTAAAGGAGCCGAATAAACTACCAACAGGAATGTAAGTGAGTTACAGATTTCTACCAATCTCGACACTAAAGGCCGAAGGGTGTTCCCAATAGGAGATGTCACGTAATTATTCATCAACAATTCTCAATTCCCTTCAAACAACCACAATTGCAAGATAAACAAATGGAAAAACTAGATTCTTTTATGGATTATAGATATATTTTCATGTGGATCTCTCCACTACAAGAGAAGCTGAAGCTCAGTCCAAGCATTTAGCTAATTTCTATGAGTGGAAGTACAAAGCAATCAGTAAATTATCTTGATTGATTAGTCAGAACTAGAGTTCATGAGCAAATATGTCGCCATTTTCAGAAGTATTCGGACGATTGTACGCCACAGTTTCTCCAAGACCACTACTTGGATATATCTTTACTATATTCAAAGCTCAGACAATTTTCAAGGTGACAAAGATAGTTATTATTATTTATATTTATACAAAGAATTGCTAACAACTACTCCTAACTAATTCTACACATATCAAATTCTCCTTATCTACCCGGAGGTATGTTCATACATTTTTTGCAACTCCCCCAACTAAGCAAAAGGATCAAGCCAGGTCAGTGTACGTTGGTATTTACTACAATTGTTAAAAGTAACTACTAATTTACTATATGTAATGAAATTTGATAATGATTAGCTTGATTGCTAAGTAGTAGTCAAACACAATCTATCGTCTTCGGCCTAGCAAGCTCCAGCTGATTGGCAGGGTGCTTCCGTGTGTCAGTCATATTTGGCTCTTGGGCAAGTGCGATGGTGGTCTCTCCACTGCTCGCGATTTCCTCTTCCTTCGAAGAGACATTCTCGCAACATCTTCAGGGGTTGTCTTGTACTATACATACGATTAGGCAGACTCGGGTGGGTAGCTTGTTGAGGCGAGAAAAGCTCATTCACAGCAATCCTTCAGCTCTCGAGGATTCAATTACTTCGACTCATCGAAGTCAATGAAGACTTTGGTTTCTCCGATCTCAGCACACAACTATGACACATAAAGTATCATTTTAAGGTCAAGAAACAGCGTACCAAGTCTCCCAGAACCATCGATCCCTGTAGAGTCCATCCCACCATGAACACAAAAGTTCCAAATCCGCCCATTGTTACCCTTCTGTGGGATGGGTACAGATTCTCATGTATAAGAATACAATTATAGTCTTGTATACCCTCAAAACCTACGTAATTAATTTGTGCTTATCACCAGAACATGATACAATCTAACCAAACTCACTTTGCGATTGAAAGATTAAATCTTCCTCCAGTAGTTATTTTTCACAATGTACATTTAACTTGGAAATTTGATATTAGCTTCGAGAAAATAATGCTCATGATACTCATAATTCGAACTCGAATATTGAGGACTAGGTAATTTAAAAGAGCTTTTGTTCTTGCAGAAGCATGAAAACTACTATATAAATGGTGACAACAATCACAAGTATTGAAAACTCTGGCAACGATCAAACACTCGAGTTCTTCTCATTATCAAGTTGCAAACATCCTCCGGATTCATTGATGTGTATAACTTAATATCCAAATTGGAACTATGTATCTGCGCATATCCATCCTACGTAGACCCGAACAAGCTTTCAATAAATAAGAAAAACAACTCCCTGCCTAGCCTTCTAAGTATGCCTAAACCTCGCACAGGGGCGTATTTCACGAGATGGTGTCACGGAACGATGCAGCAGTTCGTCATAACCCGGAGAGCAATGCCCGGAGCAATGCCCGTGTAAGCAACAAGGTCACACTGTGGCGGAAAGTCTGTTCCATTTGGCACACAGGCCACACTTCTTTCTCTCCGCCATTGATCTCCTTGTTATGGACGAAGATCTCTTCTCTCTCTTCTCTGTCGTTATCTGAATCTCAGATGCCTCAAAAAATAAGAGTTCCTCCTACTCCAGAATGATGCTACAGAGCGGGTTCGATCACGAGGCGAGCTTCTCGTTCCTGCCGTCGAACAACGCGGATAATCGAGGCCAGCAACAACGAAATTACGGTGAGGACTGGGCAGCTGAAGCACGTCCGGTTGTGTCTGTGGTGGGCTGTATCCCTTTCCGTGAAATTTAGCCTTGCCCATCGGCCTGGTCGCTGCCTAACTGGTGCAGTCGTTCTAGACTTTCCATTATTCCCAAATCCTAATTCATGCAGACCATACGATGCACACTGCCACGGCCAGCGTGCCTTTCACCCGACGTACAACGTGACCGAATTGTAACTAATGGCCGACTGCAGGTTTACTCTCAATTTGTCAAGTTTGAGCTCTAAGGAGTGATCCTGATCCTCTGTCGTGTAATGGGCCGGATTTTTGGGGTTTACCTGCAGAACCTAAGGGCTGAATCTTTGTTGCGGCTACAATCATCGTAGCGGGTGATGTGGCTTGGGGTAACTTGGAACGAACCTCGTCAACTGGTGGGAGTTAGATCCTTCCTCTCCCATGAAATTTGTTAATTCAGCTTGTCCCGTAAGTATTTCAGAGTTGCCAAGTAGAATGTTCCCTTGCCAGAGTGACCTCAAATTGTCCGAATCAGTAGAAACTATGCTTCTTCCCAACTCCTCTGCACTACTTCATCGACCGCTCAGAAACCTATCTGCGGCCGTAGGACAATAACAGGTACCGTCGCATTGTATTGGCTGGTGATATCTACTTTCAAGTAACAAAAATTAGGTGACAGGAAAGTACACGATAGCCACCGCGTGAACTGGGAAGTTGGTATGCAATATAGTCCACGAGTCCACGACAATAATGTCAGCTCTCATTCTAATCTGTGAGACTCTTGAGGCACCTCGATGATCCCACGCTGCTTACGATGTTTAGGTGCGATGTTTAGGTGCGATGAGGTGTATGTAAGCTGCCTTCCAAAATCAATGGTGAATCTGGATCAACATAATAAGTGCCGAGTTCCCCCACGTACCCCACACAAGTCTAACCTCGAGGACGCAGAACACCGCTGTCTAGACTTTCCCATGAGGCAAGAAGGTCCGACCTCACAAGTCAGGTACGGAGTTATGTTATAGGAAGAAAGGAAGGAACACATATGAAGTGTTCTGGGATGGGAAGAGGATCGGCCTTCTTTGGACGTTAACACGTTACCTTTAAGACGTGAGCGCCTTTTACAGAAAGTTAAATTTGTTGACTTCTCATAGATTAAATGAAAGGTGCTTGGACCCAGGCTGAACACCAGTGTTGTTACTCTGTATCCGAACCCGGCCATACAGTATCATGGGCCAAATCCTCACCACTAATGTGCAAGCTCCAAAGAATGTTTACATTGACGGAACTGAATCACTCACCGCCAAAAGTTCCTACTCCGACGAAGTGGATTGGTGTGGCCTGAATCGACTTCAATGCTAGAAAGCAGCCCTTATGGTGTAGCCAGCTATGCATCGAGGAACTGCGTATTCTGACCTCCAATCGAGATTCCTGTGATAGTCACTAATTCAAATGTTTTTCTAATACCCCCATTTGAGCCCGATTACAGCTGCGGTCTCTTTCTCTCGCCGACGCGCCTAAGTTCAACAGAATTGTCAAAGCATTCCCGGAAACCAAAATGTGGTTTGCCGTTGTAAAAAGTATCCTCCTGCTCGTGTGTGTCCCAATGTTCTCCACTGCTGCTCTTGCCGTACTTGTGGACCCAGCCACTTCTATTATGCCCCTCCCCCCAAGTCCGGTTCCATTTATCCCCACTCGTGCCTTGCCACCATGACTCTCCCTGTTTCACTCCGTGACCACTTTGATCGAAGTGTTCATCCCACTTGTCGCCCCATTTCGTCCAGCCACCACACTCCTCTTGCCTCTCGGCCCATTTGTCGGTGTACTTCATCGTTCCACCTTCGCCATCATAAGTTTCACCCCACCTACACATGCAGTAACCAAGTTCACTGAATGAGATTGCGAACCCAGATGACTTAGCAACATTTGTGCTTGTGCCTGTAGTTCGCACAAATCGATCTATCCTCCTGATGCATAAATCTAAACACGTATAGTATGCACCATCACATGAAACGACGGTGAAGGAGGTATACCTCTCATGCCAAGAATGGGCGTGTCCAGGTTCCAGAGGTGTGTCTGGGTCTATCTGACTCCACTTGTCGGCCCATTTGTCAGCGCGACCAGAAGCATCATAGTGCTCATACCATTTCTCATGCCATTGCCCACCAGATCCGTCCTGTGCCCACTTATCCGCTGTTTTCTCTATGTGCTGTAGACCATTGTTCAAGTCCTACACAGAACATAAGGCACTCGATAAGTGACCAGCTCACCGACAATGTCTACATGTTTTAAATCCGAGAGGTAACTGTGAATAGGTAATAAAAATTAACAAAATTAGACACGGTACTCAGACAGGTGCCTGAGGGCTGCCGTGTCACACTCACTGGTTGTCAAAAATTTCTACCGCTAGATATGCTTTCACAATTGTGTACGACGTACGTAGATACAATCTCAACAAGTCAAATCTCAGAACTTACCTGCCACATTGCTTCCTTCCAAAACTCATGCCAGACTCTGCCAGAAGAGTCACGACCCGACTTCTCTGCTCCAAGCTCCTTGTAGTCAAAGGCGTCGGACGCTTCCCAAAACTTCTCTTCCCACTCCGTTCCCTCATCGGCACTGACACCTCTAATTACGGTCCAGTTGCACACAATACCATTTTCTCTGTACTCCACCCCAGTTTCCTGCCACCATCTGGATCCATCTTCGTGAATTCCTCTTGTTGAGCTCTCACTATCGCGTTGTTTCTCATTCACCGCAGAGGCAATTTCTGTGTCCGCATCGGGCATTCTCAAGTCAGGTTGTGGTGCAACCACTGACTCTTGCTCTGCTGCCTCTAATTCTTCCTTCTCGATCTCCACAAGGGACTGGAAGGGCGGTAGCGAAGGCACCGCTCTGCTTTGACATATGAGAGGTAAATCTTCACGACCTCTTTCTTCATAATCCTCCCATGGTAAAACAGAAGTTGGTCCAGTCTGTTCCTTTGCAGATAATTGAGGAATCGGGTCGAAGCTTTTTGACTTGAGCGATGGAGGTAGTCTTTGGCTCTCGGCATCTCGAGGTTCTGGAACCCAGGACCAAAAATCTGGGCCGGGAGTGCCTTCGAAGGTTGAGTTCGTCGCTGGAGTAACGCCAGGAGTCGCATCTGAATTGAAAATATGAAGAGATTAGTTCCGGACCTTTCTTGTTACAGGTTGATGCAATTTTGACATGAACAAGCTAAGTCTCTACACATTACAGCATGATTTGCTCGCTGGATCATGTGCATGCTGAGATGCACATGTGCTCTCATTAGACCATTCATACGTGAAGGTGGCTCTTAACCCACTAAATGTCTAAGCTTTCACTTTGATTTCGAGTGATCATTACACTGTCTAGAAACTATCGTATCCAGTTCAGGACTACAACACCCTTATGTCGGTAACATGCATGCCATTAACACAACCCAATGTTCAGCTTTAGTCGTGTGAGCATGAAGAAGAACATCGCAAGCGTAGAAACCTCATTTTAAAAAAAATCAAACTACTCTGTTCCATTCCAAGCAACTCAAATCAAATTTTCTGCGGAATACGATTCACTAGAACCAGTTTAGGAGCAAGCGCATTATGGCCCGGAGAATTTACCAATGGCTGCTCTCGGGCCGCTCAACTTCTGAGGTCGCACTTCCACGACTGAAACCGGCACAACTTTGGTCCCATTCGATTTGGTCGGAATTTGAGCCTTTTTGGTGGGCACTGATTGTTTGGGAGCACTCACGGGATACTGAGCCAAGAATGCGTTGGCCGCAGCTAAAGCTGCAGCGGCGCGATCTACAATCTGCCTCCTCTGGATCCTATCTCTCTCTTCACTCGGCACCTGCAGCATCTGCTTGAAAGCCTCGTCCCGACGCCCCCAGTCCTCAGCTCCAGAGTCCGCAATCGTACTCTCGGCAGGGTTCTTGTCATAATCATTAGCATCTCTGCGCTGCTGCGCACGCTCCCACATTCTGAGAAACGAGCTCCCCGCATCTTCGGTCCGGTTCTCGGCCTGCTCCTGCGATGCGGAGGAAGCTTTTGCAGGAGCCTGGGCGAAAATCCGCAATCCACGACGAGAACGAGCGGCGCCAAAGCTCGGACCGACGACCGAACTCCGAAATCGGGCTCCCCCGCCCAGCCCCGGAGCCGCAACCGCGGCCCCGAAGCGCCATCGGGAGCACGGCAAGAGCGCCATAGCTCGAGGCCCAATTCCCCGCAGCGCGCACCGCAACAATCCCTCGGGACGCTCCGCCGGATCGCGCGTTCAAAATTCGCCCGACCCCGCGTCCCGCAACGTCTTCTTCTTCTTCCAGCCCTCCCTCGGCAGCTGCTGATGCAGGCACGGCGCTCCAGACGGTGCCACCTGTTCCATCGCTCGACCAACTCCTCCCGCGGTCGTCGCCCTCCTGCCTCTCCTGCTGCGCCTCGATCGGGCGCCCCCTTCTTGTCGACCAGCCCCAGCCTCTCGAGTGCAACCGCGCGAATCGAAACGAAGGAATGAACGAACGAACGAACGAACGAATGGGAGCGAGCGAGCGCGGCGTGAGTGGCAGTCAACTGGCACTTGCGCTCGTTCTCTCTGTGCCCACAACGAGTGGCATCTGGCATCTGGCATCTGCCCCGCGCTTGCTTGCCACGCGTCATGGGCATAACGGCCGCTTGGGCAGATTTCCAACTAGTACGTACAGATTCGCTGACTCATCAGTTCCTCATCAAGGCCAAGTTGACAAACGAGGCCTTTCCTTCGGATGGGACTGTGTGGACGCAGGTCATTGAACCCTTTGACCGAGAAATCCATTAACAGAGAGCAAGGTCAAGTCCTTGATGGAGCATTCCATGAAAAGAAGTGACTTTTTTTTTATATGACGTCGAAGACTACGGCTAGTGTTGTAGTTTTTTGAGACAACACTCAACATGTATAGAAGCATAAATTGGTGATTCTTTTATGCTCGCGTTTATGTTTTGGTTTAGTTTGATACCTGAGAGATATGTATTTTCCAATGGAAGACAATGACACTTATATGACTTATAAGATTATGTCATAGCTTACTAAACTACAAAGATTCGTCTGAATGGCAAGGCATTCGATTAAAAAAAATATTAGATAGTTTTTTCTCCAAGTGCTATATAACATGTACACAAATTGATGAATAGTGTGTGAGAGAGAAAGGATAGTAAACTCATCAATTTTATAATATATGAAAGTTGTCATATGCTCAATGTGATTGATAGAAATTAACTAGAATACAATATGGTTAACGAAAAAAGAATGTTTATTGGCATGTGTGGTATAAATGAAGAAATAAAGTTATGGTACAAGGAAAAAGCCAACCTTCAGAAGTGTAGCAATTCAGGTCAACTAGCTTTCAAGATAAGATATTCTTTGAAGGATCCGTTACAAATTACGAGTAGTATTTTTTTTTTAAAGGACGGGATAAAGATATACACGCAAGAGAAAATGTATGCGCAATTTTATGATTAGCTGATCAAAAATATCCTGAAACCACTTTTTCCAATACAGTCCTTCCTGGTACTTGAAAAAGCAATCGACAAAGCTATTCAGATTGAGGTATCTAAAAGTGAAGAGAAAGTAGGAAACAAATATTACTAAAAACACGAAATTCTTAAAAAAAAGAATTGAATCAAGTGAATACACTTTCTCCAGTGATATATTGTTCTTTAACATGCTAAAATGCTTACGTTCATTTTGTGAAGACCACTATTATTGCAAAACTTTTGATTATATAGAGATTTCAATTCATACTCAATCGAATTAAAAGTACTCATTCCAGTCATTTTTTACAAAGGTTAAAAGAATGACATGACAATACTTTTAAATTTAAGAATTCCTGACCAGCCAAAATCTAGATTCTGATCGTGAGCTCTCTTTCTTCTTTCTGGATATTTATAACCAAAATGATACATAGAAATTTACTTGCATAAAATGATAATTGATTTGAAAGTAAAATAAAATTCAAATGTCTCACCTGTATAATTTATTTTCAGGCTAAAATTACTTTAAGACTAATCTAATAAAGTATAGAAGTCAACTTTCCTTTGAGTACAAAACAGATCGTCATTTGGTAATCTACTTCATTAAATTCTTGTATTGATTTTTTAATCTTTTTAATTTTTTTGATATTTTCTGTACATATCGACGATAAAAAATTCCAATTCTAAAGAACTCTTGCAACATACACACAAATAAGGTCTTTAAGTAACAAAAGTTTTATAGCACATTGTCTCATTAATTTTCTCCTGTATATAAAGTATCATCAAAGTGTATTTACTCACTTTTCAATAAAAGTACTTACACTTCTGATGATATAAATTCATGAGTGGTCAAATTTTTAACTCCTTTTTAGTTCACTTGTGTTCAGAGAATTTATACTTCACATCATTGATTAAGTTTTAGCAACATTAAACCTTCATCATTTCTTAAATGTAGAAAAACATATTCCTTAATTGAAATGATCAACATAATTTATAGATCAAATATATCATTTATCTTTATTTTTAAATAATTTATGGAAAAATTTACAAAAGTAAAAACTAGATTTGATGATATATTACTTCTTTATGCATTATAAATCTTTGTATGATCAATGATATAGATGTATTATAATGAATAAAGTATTTTTAATTACTATATAGATACATAATCATCACTTGTTAATGTTTATAAATTTAGATTAATTATATAATTCTTTATTAGTTTCATTTGATCACAGGTTTGAACCTCAAATAGTATTTTCATCTACCTAGCCTTGAAAAAATATTTGATGAATCATTTGAATCAAATTTGTATCAAATTATTTTGCTAAAAAAATATCAATACTATTCCATTCTACTGTAACATCATTATTCTATAATGATATTATATGTGAGTTATTTTTAATTTAGTGATACGTTGTAAAAAGTAATGTTTTTCAGCAATATAAATCATCTATGTGAAAAAAAATACTCATTAGTCCTTGATATATTTATAAGACTCATGATACAATCTGAATTATTCTGAACTCTGGCATTTTTATTCACGATCTTGATGGAAAAATAATTGGTATATATTTGTCAAATCTGCATCTAATGCAACTCTATTTAATCAACCTAAAGGTTGACTATACATGTTAGGAAAACGAAGTGTATATCTTGATTTTAACATTAAAGTTTTGTATAATTTGGACAATACAAATGTACCTATGATAGAACCAACATTTTTCAATCATTTTTGTATTGTAATTATATTAAAAAAATATTACTTCACTTATATTAAAAAGATGTATTGAAATATAGAATCTTTGTTTCCAATGATTGCATATTATTAATTTTTGTAACTAAGAATCTTGTGCAAGTCCAAACTATTAATAAAAAGTAGATTAGAGTATTTCAAGCATGATATTATCAGCGAAGCTCAATATCAACCACAAGGCAATTTTAGCTCAAATCTGATTATTTTTAATTCAAATCAGAACAAAATAAACTAATTGTAAATCTTTAAATTTGAAAAATTGATCTATTTTTAGCACTTGATGGTTAGTTCATAAAAAATGAAATAACTTTATCATGTGATCCAATAAAAACATATATACTTATTATTGTAAGAGTTGAATGTCTTGCTTCTAGATAAACAGTTCCTACAAGCTATGACATAAATTGTTAAAACATGTCAACAAGAAGATTTATTCTTGCAAATGAAACCCACAAACTGTAGCACAAATTCTTTTTATAATGTTACTCAGTATAGAAAAATTCAATCGCTTTACATCATTAAGCTTGTCATAATTCTTTTATTATTTCATGTATCTTTCAATTGATAGAATTTGGCTAGATCATTTTTTATTCCGAGAATCAAGCAAGAAAAAAAAATGATGAATTTATTGCTTTTTTTGGTTATATGTGTAATTGTGATAGCTTGTGAATTCTCTTTCTTTAGAAAATAATTTTATCATTTTATTAGACATTGAATTCTTATAGAAATCAAATTTTTTTTTTCTTTGTGTATATTAAAAATTATTGACTCTTGAATCTTTATTAACAAAGTCATGCATGTATGACTTGTTTTAAACAATGAAAATTGAGTTAGAAATGAGTCAAACAACATGTTTACAAAAATTTGGGCATCTATTCATTTATACGAAACATCTACTTACACCCTGTAGTATTAAATGTAATACAGTTCAACTTGAAAAGACAAAAGTTCGTTGTTCATAGAAGTTATACATGTATCATTTCTGTCTGAAGACACTTAAGAATCTAAAGGAGGTAACAAGTATATCTTTTCTGGGTTGAGAAATGGAGAGTACACAGAAGTGGAACATGTCTCACTTTTTATGTCCATATCTTTACTTTTTAATAACGTAGCCATGAGATCTTAGATATGTCTCACTTTAGGCCATAGTTACTAACAATGGATAATTCGATTGCGTACTAGTTAGAACTCTTAAAATAGTTTCAAGTATATGCTGATTGTCCTATGCGTGTGAATTCCAAGTTGACACAAATGATTAAAAATAGTAAATACTGTCAGCATTTGCAAGTTTGAATAAGAAGGTGTTTTGGTGCTCATCTGTGTCAGTCAGAGGATTCAAGAGACTTAATTTTTTATTTATTGAATATAGAAAATGGGGTAAATTAGTAATAAGAAAATAAGTAGGGAGTTCATGCGAACTCATACTGAGAAGGCAAAAGTGAGAAGTTGAAATTTTTTGAGATGAAGGCAAACAGGTTGTTTGACTTGTTAACTATAAGATCAAAGGATAATATCTCTATCATGTACATTGAACTAATTCTAATCAGTATGTTCAGATATATATACCTGTGGAAGTATTATAATAAAAATCAATTTGAAAGTTGAAGAAGAACCATATACAATTAAACAAGTAAAAATTTCATGCAAATTCCAGTGACACTTGAAATATTTCTCCGTGATTAAACATGTATATGAAATTTAGACCCTATGTAAGTAGTAGATATGAGAGGAAATACTTAATCCTGCGATTGAAGATCGTAGATATAGAAAGTAACAGTTTGAAAATTTCTCTATAATAGCCCAGCAGTGAAAGCGGTTGCCTTCTAAATACGTGTATGAGAGAAGTTGTTCCCATGATACACGAGAGAGGAATTTAGTGTAGTCACGAACAACATTATCCTATTTATATTCATTCTCTAAATGCAAGTGCCGACACGATTAATGCCTTCCGTTCATTTATTATCCCTGAGTATATTTATTACACCAAAATGAGTATTTTCAAATTGTTGGTGGAAATCCGAGAATCTGAAAATCCAAAAGCCTACAAAAGGTTCATATAAATGCCCAATCAAAGTTTGTGCAGTAAATGACCAGGGGAAAAAAAGGGTTTGGAAAGCCTCAAGTCATTCATTCCCCTGTTTTCTTATTTTACTGTATGAGCAGTTAAGGTCTGTAAATCTTTGGCAGAGTGTGACATCAGAGCAGTTGAATGCATGTCCCTCTTCACACTTGCCGGGCCACGAGGAACCATCAATTAG